ACTGCAGATTCTCCTAGTAGCACCAACTTAAACTGACAAATCTTCCCTTGTGTCGAACCATTTGGCCTCTGGGCTGTACCCCGATTAGCCATGATCACCTAAATTTAGAAAAGGAGAAAAATGTTAAATTCATATAAAATTATATCATTTTTCTTATTATTTGCTGATTTCATTTTATTCATTGAAAGATATTAAAGTTCTAGATGTTCAACAATAAATAAAAATGATATAGTAACATTTTTTATACAATTTCAAAAATATAATAAATTTTATATAGAATATTTAAATCCATTAAATAAAATAATTCTTTTCTATAACTTCTTAAAACATTATAAATATTTGTGTATAATTAAAGAAAAATAAATTATATATGACAGATATTTGTTGACTGAATTCTATATAAAAGTTGTATTTAAATTGTTATACATTGTCCGCAACAGTAATGTAATAACAACTTGAATAAACATATATTTGAAGAATATAAAATAATTTTTAACTTTCATTCTGGTCTAAACCTCTAAATCAACAGATAAATGTCTATTTATACTTAAACTCCATGCATAATAGATAAGAGTTTCATTTACATACAGAGCAATCAACCGTTTAACCAAATGTTTTAACTTTAATGCAATGAATTGATAATTGTGTGCAATAAGTTCATCTCATGAACTTTAAGATATTTTAATGTATTAAACAAAACAGTTAAGAATGTTTTCTCTTTACTGTGACTACTACAAAAGGGACTTGTAACGTTATGAACAAAATTGAAATGTTCTAACATGAGCTTATTCTGTAATAGAAATAAATTAAATGTTCATAAATTTATAGTTTTTAGGAAGTATCTATGAAATAAAATACTATAAATAATAATACAAAAAAATAATATTAAATCGTAAAGAAAATTTTGATGAGCATGCAACATAGTCATTGTTATAAAAATAAAAATTGTACTTGTACTACATTTACAATTTTCAAATTTGGTAATTATTACCGAATTATGTAAGTAATTTCTTTAAGTTTTAGTTATACAAAGTTCCATAAGAAAAACAGATACGATCTTAAACTTGAACTCATTGGAAGAACCACACTGACAAGGAATATAAAAAGATGTACAAAAGTCTGCATAATGCAAACAAACAACCAAAATTCAATCACAATCATATCACCAATGTGAAAAATACACAATACTTGAAAGACAAAACCTACAAATATCAGTATGAAATACAATTGCTTATTTTGTAAGAATTATTTTTCAATGAGTCACTTACGAGTGAAAAACACTATAAGTAAAATCGTCGAAAAAATAATAGCGTATATGATTTAACCCATTAAAGCGGGGACTGTGTTAATTACATTATCCAATTAGTTCGCGAAGCGAATCTTGGCGAATTGAACAGTACAGTGTTGCTTTGCGATAATATTATGGCTGATAAAACCAAACAACAGACACTCAAAATGATAATGTACAGCTCGTTTTAATGAGAAACGAACAACAGTGGAATCAGTAACACGATGACTAAACACAGCAACTTCACGGCAATCACGGGATTCGCGTAACTCACGGCGACGAAAAGGAAACAGGTCCGCACTGCTCGAACCCGTCCGGGTACGAGCTGACAGGAAAAAAACGTCCACGATAGAAAGAGAAAGAGGAAGGGAGAAAGAGAAAAAGAGAGAGAGAGAACGAACGAATCGAATGAAAAAACATGACACGCACAATTTACGTACACGTTATTAATAAAATGAAGCTGCGTCAAAGTTTCATACCACCAAATTCGCTTGAAACTTATCTGCGTAACAAACACCTCATAACCTTCGACAAAATGGAATCATCGAAAAATCACGAGAAACCGTTAAAGCGGTGCATAGAGAATACGAAAGAAACCGATAAGGAGAGATAGAGTTCTGTATACGCGCGCGCGAATCTCTCTCTCACACACATATACATACTTACTTATGCCCCTTCTCTCTTACTTTTAATACCGTCTCCTTCGCTTTCAATCGTTTATTCGCTTAATCTATGTTTCTCTCATTCGTCTGCTGTATCCCCCTCTCTCTCAATCACTCTCTTTCTCTCTCTCACTCTCTCTTTCTCTCTCTCTCTCTCTCTCTCTCTCTCTCTCTCTCTCTCTCTCTCTCTCTCTCTCTCTCTCTCTCTCTCTCTCTCTCTCTCTCTCTCTCTCTCTCTCTCTCTCTCTCTCTCTCTCTCTCTCTCTCTCTCTCTCTCTCTCTCTCTCTCTCTCTCTCTCTCTCTCTCTCTCTCTCTCTCTCTCTCTCTCTCTCTCTCTCTCTCTCTCTCTCTCTCTCTCTCTCTCTCTCTCTCTCTCTCTCTCTCTCTCTCTCTCTCTCTCTCTCTCTCTCTCTCTCTCTCTCTCTCTCTCTCTCTCTCTCTCTCTCTCTCTCTCTCTCTCTCTCTCTCTCTCTCTCTCTCTCTCTCTCTCTCTCTCTCTCTCTCTCTCTCTCTCTCTCTCTCTCTCTCTCTCTCTCTCTCTCTCTCTCTCTCTCTCTCTCTCTCTCTCTCTCTCTCTCTCTCTCTCTCTCTCTCTCTCTCTCTCTCTCTCTCTCTCTCTCTCTCTCTCTCTCTCTCTCTCTCTCTCTCTCTCTCTCTCTCTCTCTCTCTCTCTCTCTCTCTCTCTCTCTCTCTCTCTCTCTCTCTCTCTCTCTCTCTCTCTCTCTCTCTCTCTCTCTCTCTCTCTCTCTCTCTCTCTCTCTCTCTCTCTCTCTCTCTCTCTCTCTCTCTCTCTCTCTCTCTCTCTCTCTCTCTCTCTCTCTCTCTCTCTCTCTCTCTCTCTCTCTCTCTCTCTCTCTCTCTCTCTCTCTCTCTCTCTCTCTCTCTCTCTCTCTCTCTCTCTCTCTCTCTCTCTCTCTCTCTCTCTCTCTCTCTCTCTCTCTCTCTCTCTCTCTCTCTCTCTCTCTCTCTCTCTCTCTCTCTCTCTCTCTCTCTCTCTCTCTCTCTCTCTCTCTCTCTCTCTCTCTCTCTCTCTATCTATCTATCTATCTATCTATCTATCTCTCTTAGCACTTATTCATTTACAATATCCCACTCGCTTGCTTTTTCACTATCTTTCTCTCTCATACTTGTTCATTCATGTTCTTTCTTTCTTTCTCTCGAGTTAGCAAGAGGGAGGACAAGAGAGGCAACTAAAGGGTGTAAGCGATGCGCCACGATAGTTATGGCTCTGAGTACTTGTCACCGCCCGTGAAACGTCAGCAAGATCTAAAATATCGAGTCCGTCCTGAAAAGTCAGAAAATCTTATCGGCCGAAGAAACACAATAGAAAGAAAATAGAATGCACAATCTAAAAGTAATCGCGTGGCATATTATACGCGAGATTTTATCAATGTTCGTGCAATAGGATACACGTTAATAATGCAGGGACAACGTGAAGAATTCTTGGCATTACCGTTGCAAATTACACTATTTAATGAACGTAACTATTTCGTTCCCGACGGTCTGTAAAAAAAAAAGGCATCGTAAATGCGTTTCGGCAATAGCGAGAACAGGGACCACCTGGCAAGACGGATAACTGAAATTTTCAGTGCTTAACCTGCTGCTTGAGGAAGCTCGCCGTCGAACAAAAATGCGGCACTAGCTGTTTAGACGGTCAATGGGTGCACAACACCGCGCGACGATGATTAATGTCAATTCACTGCCGCGCGTCAGATACGATCACTTGTCTCCAGTAAATCGGCCCACTAACCGAGCATAGATCGTGCAATCTATATAGAATGTGTACATTTATGACAGCTCCGGTTGGTACACACAGGCTGACACACGACTTTGCGAAGCTTGTTGATTTTTTCACACTCCCCTTTTCCCGTTTGAGGAATATATTCTTTTGCCACTTCTCCCGAAACGGTAACTGTTCAAATCGGCACTTTTTTCGATGAATAGGACAATTTTGGTGTCTCTCTAACCTAATGCAGCCAGATTTTGAATAAGAATTGATTTCACTGGAAAAGAATGAAGATTGAGACCCGTATCACGCACACGGTACACACAATGCTGCGACACTTTCATTTACAACGTCGAGATTGGAAGTCACGATACACATAAGAATTTACTACTGATCAATTATTGGATCAGTCAATTTAAGAACTAGAATTTCGAAAAGTAGGAAAAAACGACGGAAACTTCGATCTCGGAAGGATCCTTCGAGAGTACCTTTCTTCAATGTCGTTTTCTTTTTCCTCGAATTGGAAATGGTGCATTTTGATGAGTGCGGCCACAGCACGGCGCCACTGTCGACCAATAGCATCATTTTAACTAATACAATGTTTTCAAAGTATAGACATATATAATTCTATTGAGATTTTATTATTCCTATCTTTTAGTTTATTATAAATTTTCATTGAAATTATCTGATAGTTTTTAATTTTTATTCAAGTTGTCATAAATAATTTTTTAATAAAAAGTCATTTTCATAAAAATTACTGAAGTGGTAAAAAACTAATAAATACTAAAGATTTAATAACGATTTAACGAAAATGTTTATAAAATAAGTGCTAATATATATTTTATAATATAATTTTCATAATCAAGTTTAGTGATTTTCTACTGTCTATTCCACGAGAGAGTATATCCCTAGACGGACAAATCTACGCGTATTGACTGTGTTCAATTCTACACATTTTTTCATTTATGACATTGCGCCGGCGTTTTAACGATAATGGTGACGCCAAAAATATATACCCGGCAAACTGGAAGTTTTATAAATTTTAATTTTTATTGATCGTGATATGTTCATAAGGCATAAGGCGAAAAACCTTTCGTGTTATACTCATGTATTTTATTCCAACAATTAAATATATCTTTCTATTTTTATACATTTATCACATCATTAGCGATTCTTGTTACTTGTGTATTTTTTCCACCATGTATATGTCCATGAAAGTAGAAATACATAGTAAAGAAATATCACTTTCGTGGTTAGGAATTCCCCTAGCTGCACAAACCGTAGTCTAGTGTATTTTCTTAGTGAGCAGAGTATAAAATTTCATAGAGTTAGAAAGTTTTATGTTCATTTATTAACTATACTGATTACCATTATTTCCATTGGTTAATTTTGAAAATGAAACTTAGAAATGGCCGCCAAATATTATTTTTCCGTGAAATGAATTTATTATTTTCTGTTTTATGACTGTGTTTATTTACAACAAAAGAACGCTTATGTTTAATGTCTGGAATGCATTGATAAAAGCATTCATATTATACTTGCACATATGTACATATTTTTATTTTTTATAAAAACTTTTTATTAAAGGAGGTTTAGTTAGAGTGTTTATATGTTACGAAAAGCAAGTTTACTGTGTTTATAAGTTTTATTGTCATTCCAGTTTATTGGAAATCATATTTTTATAATTGCTTCCAAAATATTAAACAAAAATAATGGAAAAATACCAACATATGAGAACTTTCATATCAGCGGTTGTGGAATATACGAAACATCCAAGTGAAACAACTGTCTCGGTTTTGCAACGAAATCTCGGTGTATGTATTATTTTGCAAACAGAAATAAAAAAACAATTACTGTGTCATAGAAATATAATTTTATGAATATATTATAATTTAAAAATATTAATTAAAAAGTAATTATAATGAAATGATTGAGTTTTATAATTCTACTAATAAAATTATATTTAAAGGTAATAAGTGCCTCATTGGATTTGAGTATATTCGACCCTGGAACCAGTATAGCGGCTGAATTTTATGTTAGTCTACATGAACTTATGAATTCTTTGGCATCTAGAACCACTTTGATTTGGAGTGCTGTTGATGTCTTACAAAATGCCTGTCGAAATGCTAGTGCAAGACAAGCTTTGATTCATACCTATAAGTTTGCTCCCATATTGGCAAGATTATTAGAGGTATATCTTTTCTTTTTAAACGTAAATTTACATGTAATGATAACACACTTTCCAATCTAAGTTATAGAAAATTGGTTCAAACATATAAATTTATGTGTTGAGAATGTATTAAAATATAATTGTAATATTTTTCATACTTATATTGTTTCCATGTATATGTTTCTTAGGCTAATTTAACAAGCGAAAAAAGAGTAAGAGTATTAAAACTACTTCAAGAATTGACATATGGTATAAAAATTTCTTGGCAAGAAGCTCATTTACCTTATTTAATATCGATATTGACACAATGGGTAACACAGTCCAAAGAAGAAGACATTATTGCACTCTCATTAGGTGTATTAGTAAATCTATGTTACAAAAACCTTCCAGCTGTATATACCTTAATGAGAACAATTGACACAAAAGCATTTATACGGACATTATTAAAACTGCAGCATTGTAGTGTAAATACCAGTGTGCAATGTTGTAAACTTTTAATTATATTAGAGCATACAAATACAAACATTTCAGAAAAATATATTTTGGATTTTGCTGCTGTTACATTTAGCAGCCTAGTTACTGCAATGAAACAAAAGGATGTTCTATTACTTCGACATATTATAGATTTCTTTCAAGATGTTGGGCACAATGAACATTCTCATTCTGTATTGCTTACATATCCACAGTAAGTTATTTAAGTTCTGTTTAAACTTGTGTTATATGTAATTATATTTTATTTGTGGTTCTGTTAGTTATGGAAAAGATGTAGAAAATGTATTGGCTACATTAGAAGACAATGAACCGGACCCAGAATGTGTTACTCTTATGATGGAATTTTTGTCATCATTGGTAAAATTAAAATTGTCTGCTTTAGTACCTTTGTATCCTTCATGCGTAAAAACAGCTATGACTTGGGTTCCTGTAGAACAGGTGTGTCTTTCTATTAAACAACCATTTTCCGAATATATAAATGAACAGTATTTAATAGCTGTGTAAAATAACTTTTTCAACACTAGGTGTGTTCTAAGGCATTATCTTTAATAAGGGTCACAGTTATTGATGCAAGACGTACTAAAACATTTTCTGAAGTATTAGCAGAACTTGATGCTTCTGTTTTAATGCTTATAATAAATTCAGTAAATGAAGAAATTCAAGAGAAACATGAATTAAGTTCGGAAACAGAAATGAGATTAGCAGAATTAATGCAATTATTTCAAGAAATGGTCAAAATATCAACACTTAGAACAAAAGTAATGCAGTTCTTAAATGAACAAATGATATATAAATTGTTAAGTCCAGTGATGGATACTGAAGTGTGTGTCACTGGTGACTGGCCAGGAAATTTTATTCAAGTACTATTTTTTTTTTTATAAAATAATAATTGTAATATTTGATAGGCATGATTTTAGTTTTAACTGTTTTAGAATCCCACTACAAATTTGTGTATACATGCATTAGCTTTGACTGCTGATTTGGCAACTAATAATTCACAATGGTTAACAGCATATTCTGAGTTACTTAGAAATAAACAGATTCAAATGACAATGGCACATGCGTTGTTTACAGGCGATGGAGATATTAAACAAAAAGTTTTGCAGTTAACATCAACTGTAGGATTTCCTCAGGAATGGTAAATTTTAAACTAATACATATTAAACATGTTACAGAATATAAAAGGGTTTAGCAAAAGTTCTCATTCAAACAAAATGTCACTATAGTTCATTACTAAGTATTAATGATAATGGTATTAATAATAACTCTAGACAAATTCACGATCACACGCAAATTGTATCCCATGTTTTTGTGTGAAAAGTGTTTCCGCGTTGGCGTTATGTATGAAGCAACTGGAACCTCTAATATTAATACAAAGTTCTCCTGGGATGGCTCCAAATATTGGAAATAAAATATCCATAAATTCAAATACAGAAATGGCTCCACTTTTTTCTTTTGCACAAGAAGAACGGCTTGATACATTTTTAGCAAAATTACAAAGAGCTTATGAATCAAATCAAATCAGTGACATCACCACATCAGCGGTAATGGAATTATATGAATACAAGGTATTTATTTTTGTATAACTTATTTTCGTTCAAATTGAAGGTAGTTTATACTTACCATTTTTCTATAACATAATACATATGTAGTTAGCAGCAATGAGACACGCAGAACGTGCAATGCAATCTAGTTTAGAGGCAGCAAACAATCATGGAATCAGTTTACAACACAGATTAGCACAAGTAGTAGCTGAATCAAGTCGCTTGCATCAAATGCTGTTTGATTCGCAACAATGTTTAGAAGGAGTGAAATCTACATTAACTGTGAAACTTGCTGAAGTAGAAGAGCAGAGTAAGAAAGCTGTTGCTGTTAAAAAACAAGTTAGTGTCATGTTTTGTGATAAATATGTAATGGCAGAAACATTTAAACAATTTAAATAAAAATTACATTTACAGGAAATTGAAGGACTGAAAAAAATAGTAACAGAAAAATCTACTAACATTGATCATTTAAATATATTGCTTGTGCAACATAAACATGATTTAGAAAGCAGTAATAATAAAATTGAAGTATTAACTAAAAAAATAAAAGAACTAGAAATTGAATGTATAAACTCAAACGCAAAAATTACGGATATGGTTAACAAGAATCACGAAATAAGCAAGCTTCTCCATAAAATGCAAGAACAACTTAATAAAAAGGAACAGGTATGCTTAAATAATTTAAAATCTGTTACAACAAATTCTTTAATAAACGTTTGCTTCTGAATAGGTTATAGAACAAAAAACTGCAGAAATTCAATCTAATCAAAAAGATATTTCTGCACTTAAACAAGAAACTCAACAATTATTGCAATTAGTGCATACATATGAACAAAATATTGCAGAAAAGGAAGAAGCTCTTAAAAAAATGAGCGCAGAATTAACGGATTTAAGTCGCATGCGAGATATGATTTTCGAACTTACTGCCAAGAAAAAGGAGGATTTAAGCACAAGTTAACATTGCATCCTTTTTCTAAAACATATTTTCAAATTATCAAAGCAATTTGATAGTAATTTTATGAAACTATTTTTTACTTATATCATATTTTTTTTACATTTGTGATAAAACCTATTGAAAATTAAGTTGTCCGTACATATGTACATTAATGTACATTAAAAAATCAGCAATATTAATTGCACAGTTTATTTTGTAAATACAATTTTTACCACTTATAAAATTCAGTGTAATTTTATATTTCCATAAATAATCCATAAAATTTTATATTTTTTGGTCTGATACAAAAAATTTTTTATTTCTTTTGCATGCAATTTACATACTCATTTTCTAATACAAAAAGAAATAAAAACTGAATACTCGGAAACCAGTATTTGTATAAACTAATTACCATTGTAGTTTTTTTTTTCATTTGTTATACATTAAATATATATGACTATTGATATTTTTATTTTTATATAATACTTTTTGTACATTCATTTGCACTGTATCATTTTCATAATTGCTTTGAAATTTAAATATAGTTTTTTAAATTATGATACTAACATAAATAAAAGTATTTTTTAATTCTAGTAAATTGATTGCTTGGGAACACTTTTATGAATAATTAGCAAATGTTTATTGACGAGAAAGAAAGAGTATGATCATTAGTAAGTAATCATATTTAACTCTTAAGGTGTAAAGCAAATCATAACAAAGCTCTTTTGTTTCAAGTTATTCTCTATTATATAAGTTGTACGCAATAATCACAATTTTAAAATGTGTTTCTAAATTATTAAATAGTTACCTACAAAAAAAGTAACAATTTTACTTGATATTTAAGAATTTCATTTATAAAATTCTGTTGCCTCGACTTAATTATATCTTACTATTAATACCGTCATTTTTCTTATTTTCTGAGAGAAATTTGTGTCATTATCCTTGGCATTATTTTAAATTTACATATCACCTTATTATTACCTATATTCATAATAAGTAGTAACATAAAATTTATATCCTGTATAATTTAATCGCACAAAAAATGTGCGCATTTATTACTTTTTATTATCATCAAACAAAAATAAAATTGTTCATTCAGATATTATATCTTGTTTCATGCCAATCATTTTTAAATGACTGTTTTTATTTACAGATAAAACTCTTACGTATAAACAAGAATATAAATTTCTGTAGTATTTATCACACGTAAATACAAAAAATATTTGCTATAGTTTGCACTTTTTCATAGAAAGATTAAAATAAATTAAGTTACATTAGAATTTTATTTCTTTTAACTTGGTCATTAAAAAATCAAATGAAATTCCAGATTTCACAAAATATTAAAAGTGATATTGTCATGTGAACAGTTTCTTTGGAATGTTACAAGTTCAGTACTTGAACTAAATTAACGTAATAGTAAATACTGTTGCAAAAAACATAGGTTAAGACTTCTTAATCAATAAGAAGTTGTTAATTCGTTAAAAATAGTATTAAAAACAAAATTTGTGCCAAATTGACAATAATTAAAATGAACTGAGAGCAACTCGGTCTAATGATGAATTACTCTCTATGTTAAATATTTCACGTCTAATAAAATTTTGTCATCAACTGCTACCTTTACTCCAAGGCTGTTCCGTAGCAGATGCGAAGATCAAATAAAAGCAATTAGTTGCCACATTTATTACTGCTGCTAACCAAAATACTGTGTGCCAACGAGCCAACGTTTCCTATAACATGAGTTCACATTAAATTTGTAATACATTTCTTATGTCAATCAATAATACTAAATCATGTAAATTTAATTTTATTAGTATAAATTCAGTTTTACTAACATGTCCTTGAACTATTCTTCCAATAACATATGGTGCTAAGAATCCGCAAGCATTTGATGCCGCATTCGTAAGCCCATAAAGGGTTCCCGCGAATCGGGGTGCTAAAGCAATATGATTCATTTGATTCCCTGCATAAACGGCTCCTTGTAGAGATCCTAGTACAGCAAGCATCATCATAACAGTCATGCGATCGCATTCAGCCCAGATAGCACCAATAAAACTGAGACTCGGTCCTACTGAAGCCACTGTGTTCCATAATTTGAATGATGCTAAGGGAGATAAAATCTGACGGGCAAGAAGGGCATCTGCGAAACTTGAAATACCAAGGCCGACTAACCAAGAACTTAAATAAGGAAGTGCTGAAAGAAATGCATCCTGTTGCACGTCGAAATGCAAAATTTTATCCATATATGTTGGTAATTCTGTCAAAAGAGTGTAAAATGCCCATGCTTGTCCACATTGTGTCACTGTTATAGCCCACATAGGCATTGATGTAAATATTGATAACCATGGAACTCCTGCATCATTATCCTGTTTTTCAAGAAGAAACTAAGTTAGATTTTAATTAATAAAACCAATTATATACATAATAAATAAATAAATTTGAAGTCAACCTCATCTTTCTTCTCCACACTAGCCTCAATAAATGCTCTTTCAAGAGGGTCGATTTTTGTATGTTGTGCAGGTGTATCAAACACAAAAATTAACCAAAATGCATACCAAATAATACCAAGTCCTCCAAATAAATAAAATGCAAGGGGCCAACCACCCCAAAGTTCCAATGAACACAACCATCCACTCACTGGTAAAGATATAACAGTTCCAAAATTTGAACCTAAATCAAAGTAAGTATGGATAATCACATTTTTTAAGAATTATTTTGTAAGAAGTAGATAATTACCTGCATATACTACTGCAGCAAATTTGCTTCTCTCTAAAGGAGGTACCCAATGTGCTAACATACTATGCATTGCAGGGAATGTAACACCCTATTATTGAAATGAATTTTTATTAACTTGATTCTGATGATATATATATTTTTTTATTATGAAAAAGAATTTACCTCTGTGAATCCTTCTGCTACTCTTACAGCTAAAAATGGTATTAATCCTGCATATGCTGCAAAAGGACTAATAACAGTGAGTACAGCAGTTAGAAACACTCCTAATCCATATATTAGTTTTCCACCAAATTTTTCTGCCATTCTACCACCTGGGACATTCGTAGTTACGTAGCCAAGGAAAAAAGCACCTAATATAACACCTTGCGTCTTTTCATCCCAGTTAAACTCCCCTGCACTCTTTAAAAGTTTAAATTTACTTTTAATACCAGTAAAAATAAATTACATTTATTAATATTTAGTTATGGTCTTAAATTATAAAAAAATTACTACTAATTTATCTTTTATTAAATGGAATATAATATCTTAAAATATATAATATTTTTTTATAATGCAATAAATGTAGTAGCAAAATATTTTATGCTGAGAGATATCTGCAGTCATACAAGATAAAAACAAGGGATGTAGGCGTAAATGAATGTTATGTTTCTGTTTAGGTTTGTAGAATGTTGTAGAATGTTTATGTTTAGGTCATAGTATCAGTGATAAATTTGCATGAGTAATATGATAAAAAACACAACTAAAGCTGACATTTGATCTGTATCAACAGTTTGTATTATACTATATCACAAACTTCAGTAAAATACTGGTTGTAACATTATTTAACTTCCTTATATTGTTATTTTATAGATATTCAATATAGATATTCAAATATTAATACTATTGAGAACAATAAACATTGATTACAATATTATATTCAGTGCTGAGTATAATTTTTGAGAAAGATATCTCAAATATTACTTCGAACAATTGTTCTGCAATTAAAAAAAGAATAGTATTTTAAATAGAAAATGAAATCTCAACAAATGAAGGATTTTCATTTTTACATGTTTATACTATTTTAATAAAATTTGTGTCTACTTCAATATATTAAACAATACAATGACAACAATATTATGAAAGAAGATATTAAGGCATTAAGAAATTGTTTATAATAGCAAAAAGAACAGTACTGAGTGTACATTGATATTTTCAAAATTGATATATTTGAAAATATTTCAATATTTCAGTATCCTTCAAAATAGTATTTTAAAAATTTGTTTTCACAAATAAAATATTTTATTTTTAGAAGTACACATATAATCTAAAATAAAATAAAATATACTATTTAGCACTATAATAGTATTCCATTCAGTTCTGATTATGTGTATACCCTATAACAAATTGTATTTAATTTTAAATAAATTTTTAAAAACTTACGGGTATAAATGTCCCATTAATGGGTTTTTCTTTACGACAAACGCCAGAAGTATTGTTTTCATCATTATGTGATATTGCTGTTTGATTAACCATTGAAACAATAGCTACAGATAAATTTACTCTCATGGCATACACAAGAGCAAATCCCATAAATCCTAAAAAACCCAACGTATACCTTGCTTTTATACATGATTTTGTATCTGTTGGTACAGATGATGCATTAACTGAAAATAAAATTTTATAATCAGCATACAATTTGACTTAACTGTATAAAGAATATCCCAGTCTTTCCCTAATGAAACACTGTCAATATAAACTATGAACAGGAATACTTACATCTAATACTAATAAAAAAATAGTGTAATTTTACAATTCCAATTGTAACTCCATTTACCAAATTGAAACAAAATCAAACTCAACTTTGAAGAGTAACAAATTCAATTTTTTATCATTATCAATGTTATATTAATGGGAATTATAAATGGGAACATTTTAAAATAGGATTAGGCTTGGAATTATAGAAATATTATACCTTTTAATTAATATTGGATATAAATTTTCTTAATCATGACATATGTATGTTTATTGCTCCTCATTCTGCATATGATTTTTTTTTATTATAATTCTTTAATAATGTTTTCAATGACATGTGTTTATACATTTATCTTTTATTTTGACTTGTAAAATATATTGACAATGTTTAGATGGAAAAAATTAAAATATTCTGCATATTTATAAAGAAGTATTTGATTATTTTATAATGAATAATTAACCACAACAATGATAATATATTATTTGTTATATTCCTTGTAAAGCAGATTATTTTACTTTCTTTGATACATAGTTGAGAGGCTCAGTAAAAAACGCATATTCTACAACTATGTTCTTTTAACTTATTATATCATTAATAAGCTGTAATAATTTGGCAAAGAAAAAACTAGTTTTCAGATAACTCTATAGCATTGTAAAATATGACGCTTTTAAATCTATATCTATGTAAATTTCATAATGTATTAGTACATTATAATGTATCAAGAAATTTCAAAGTGTATTATTTCTTTGTAAATATTTTCTATGTAAATAACAAGTTGTAACTGTAATTCTTATAAATATATAAAGCTCTATTCAGTTAACCTGATGTATCTTCTGACAACATCTTATATAGTTTTTGATTTTTTCTCATTTTCGATATCTTTTACTATTTGTTACTATTATATTCAAATATTTTCTATACTTTATAAACATAAAATTTTCAATCGTAACGTACATTTTCCAAGGTAGAAAGAATTCATAAAAAATTATTCGAAATTGCTTTGAATTAATATAATTCAATTCAAAGTTTGACAGCTGATAGTGCATGGAACACTTGTGTATATACATATATATATAGCGCGTTCTATCAATCCTTTGTTTCCAAACAATTCCTTTTTACGGTTGCACGAAAAATAACAATGAACATATGTACATTAAAAAAGAAATATTTACATTCAGATATAAACAAATTATTAGAAACTAACCTCTGTCTAGAGAATCATTGATGCACAGAGGCTGATCGTCTCTTGTAACACTAGGATCCAATACTTCCATGTTTTGCTTGGCGCTATATCGGACACTCGACACTTTCACAATGACCTGCTGGTTACTGTTAGCATTGATATTATTCTTCTATTCCGCGTAGTTGTCCATTCACATTACTGATACGATGATTTAAGTAATATCCAACTTTGCCAAATAAATGCAAGAACGTCAATTTTAACAACGTTATAATATGAACAAAGTAAATCGCCGTCTGCTGTCATTACCACTGGTCGAATATGTGAGAATATTTGCGCGCTCACGTCATTTAATACTAACACATATTTAATCTGTTGTTATACACGAGTATAGTTGCGCATGCGCTTTATTTTTCTGTAGACTTACCACAATTGAATAATTAAAACTGAACAAATAAATAAATGTTCTACTTCATAGATGTAAATTCTTTTTGACCTTGTTAATTATTCAAGAATAATATTTAAATCGCTTGTGTTAGACTCATTAACTGGTTTGTATAAAAATGAAAATTATTTCTTTTTATGTGTAATATAAATTGAAAGTTATTTAGTTCTGTTGAATTAACTGTTACAAATTTTGGTACGCAATAATATTTAATTATTTTAAGCTTTATGCTGTAGGCTTTTTGAAGTATGTCCTTTGTTGTAAATTATTTATATATATTATTTTATGTAATTAATAAAGAATTAAATGATATATTACTATTATATTAATATATTCTTAGATTAGTAACAATTTTGTTCCCGAATGTACGTTCAGCCTCTTACATTAGGTACGATTGAATTTTGCGCGTGCTGTTTGTATGGCATATTACGGTGAGCGAATGAGTCAATAGAGTAAGCCACTATAGTGGCCCGTCGTTATATGACATCTCCGAAAACCACTACATATAGTGGCGCATCGTACCTAAGAGGTTAGTATTCAGTATTGTAGTCTGAGACCATTCGCTTGATTTCCTAGGAATCTACATTTCGGCGGTACATGTCTTGTCGATCTCTTTAGTAACTATAATTAAGAAGAATGTGTCACTCTGCAATACATATGTCAATCATTTGGCATAAACCTGTACAAGTAAAACATTCAAAATAAACATGTTTTTTCCAATTATCGCTGAACTCTAATTCTTAATATCGCTTCCAAAACTAAGTCATCCGTGATCCTGTTACTAAATCCCGAGGAGCACAACAAATAACAAATTGAAAATTTCTTAGCAATAAAATGTTTATTTTTGCATATATTGATAGTGTAACAATGATGTAAAGAAAAGCATTTATGTTTTTTTATTGTCATTTTTTATAACTTTTTCTTTTCAATATAAGAATATGAGAAAAAGTACTCTTTGCTGAGGAACAGCAGTGCTCTTTTTCTTAAAGCTTTATATATATAATCAGAAAACATTAGTAGTATAATCTTTATAAAGTTGTTAATCATTTTATAATTACTGTTTGCTATTTCAATTCCAAATATTATTTATTGTGAAAACATAACTTTTTAAATTGCTATTTTAATGGTTAAGAACAATTTTTTAAACATAAAAACGAATCATTTTAAGAAAAATAGCACTGATTGTAATAACATGTGTAAACATTTTTCTTACTGACTAAAAATTTATGAATTAAACCTCGATTTAGATTAAACTTTAGTGTAACATTTAATTAATTAATAAGTTTTGATATCTAGAAAGATTCATAACCATTAAAAATGTAGAAATGTTATTAATTATGCAACTAACTATTGGTATAGCTATTATTATTACCCTGCAATTAGAACAATATTTATTATATTTAACACTGTAAATATTATATTGTTTCTAAATAATAAATTGTTAATTGTTATTAAATATATCATTCATATGAAAAAGCCCATTAAAGATATTACTTTTCTCTTTTATTAATTTTTATAAACTGAATTATAACATAAATTATCTTTTACACAAAAATTATATTTAAAATTATTTCCGTACTAGAAAATATAAACTGAATAAAATAAATAGTACATTGCATTGAATTGTTTCAATGATCACTGTTTAAGTACTGTTGTGTATTTCATGTAAAACATAACAGATCAACGTAACAAATTACTATAAAAGAAATGTAATTTATGTATTGTCAATAAAATGTAATATATAAGTACACAACATAACAATAGAAACTAGGAAAAATAATGCATAAAATGGAACTATAAAATCCTAATACCACAGCACTTGTAAAACAATAATGTTCTAAAAGCATAATTAAAATAAAAATAAACATATTTAATTCTTTGCATTTTTTGCTTTCATAAAACTGAATAAACTTAATAACTATTTTAAAAACATAATAATTTTTGCAAGAAATTTTGTAATTAAATTGCTTAAATTCAATTCACAGAATAATAAGTATTTTGACTTGTTAGTATAACAAAAAAATTTACTGCAAGATATCAATGCAAGAGTAATTTATTATGTATATTGAGTTGTATGGAAAGTTAGTATACTTTGCTATTTTCATGATAATTAAAAATTCTTCATCATGTTAAAATCTGCGATTTCGTTTAAAGATGCAAACAAATGGAAATCGAGTACTTCTAAATTAAAAAAAATATAAAACAATAGTTTAATTAAATGCAGGGATTATTACTTCAGCCTGTATTATATGAAATTTTTAAATTGCTTTATTACTTTCAATAACATTTAAATAAAAATTTAATCAAAATATATTTTTATATGTTTGGTGGCTTTCCATTTAACTCAACAGACAAGATTGATTTCAGTGCCAAAAGTTATATTTTTATCATTGTTATCGCAGGACAATTCTAAATATGCAATATAGTTATATTTAAATTCTTATTAATTCTTAATTTCTAAACTATGTATATAAATAACAATAACATCGATCAACAACAACTATATTAATATTAAGTTCATGATCGATGTGATATAATTTAGGTACCTACATTTAAATAAGTAGATATAGTATGATGAAAGGAACGTCATACAATGGCAATATATATTAATTAAATGTTATTCTCTTTGGTGAATAAAATAAATAATTAATTAAAATGTTTAAAATAATAGTTGATTATGTACGGTGGTTAACAACTTTAAAACTCGCATATATTATTCTACAAATTGGACGCTAAAATCTAATAAGAGACAAATTTTTATAACATTCCAAACAATCACAGGAAGTTTAGTAAATATACTGCTTAATTATTCTATTAATTAATTCAGTAATTATATATGATTATTCTTAATTTCTAAATTGAAAATCTTTGTACAAGATTAAATAGAACAAAATATACCATAAACATAGGCACACAACTAATTGACAAAATACTTTCAAGTAACTAAAATCTCAGATCTTGTAGCAATATACAAGAAAATTTTATATTGTTATTTTATGCTCATGCTATATGAAATTTAACACATTATCAATAAAAATATGAACTGAAAAATTAATTCTGAATGTTCTGTATATTAAAAGTTCTAAGATTTATTTTTAAAACATCTAAAATGTTTAAAATCAAGTTTTAGAATTTTTAGAATCCATTCTCATTTCTAAAAATAAAAGTTATCAAAAAATGCTACTATAGCATTAAATGTGGCATACCATGTTATACATAAACAAAATCATGATGTTTTCAATCAAATGTTGTTTGGCTGTTTTAAAAACACTTTGATTACCAACTTACTGTAGAAGGAACGTGAGTACTAATTGTGAAATCTTTGTATTGAGAAAAAACGCAAATCTGAAAAATATTTTAAATAAGAAAAAGAAATATAAGGCAGCAGAGATTAAACTAACCTTGTCTTTTAGTCGCTGACAAAGCTGTAATGCTATAGTAAGCAATACTAAAGCATCATTCAGCCAAGGAACACTACATTCTGCTTGTTGTGTTTCATACTTGACATTACCATGTGCATTTTCCAACTGGTATATTGCCAGAACCAACTTGTAACTCTGAATGTAGAAACTAATAGCCAAATTTTCAGGTAGATTTGGATTTAAAGATTTCTATAAAAAATAAAGTAATATTTGTTTATATATTTATCAATATATAATAATTATATTAACATATTCAAATTAGCATAATAAATTATATAATTAACATGCTTATGGTCTAAATATAATTACTAACCATATTACGGCTTTTAATAAGGTCATCAATGGTTTTCTTCCTAGGAACAATGAGACTTGTACGACTACGTTGCAAGCAACCAAGTATGTTTCCTAATACATGCATAACTTCGTCAGATGTCTTAAAAAGATAATGACGATCAACATTATCTATATGAGCAATAGCTTGCTGTAAATGATTAGCTGCATCCTGTATTTGTTGCAATTTCCAGGGATGCTCATTTTGTATACTTGTTCTCATATTAATATTTTGCTGACGTTGTACTTTAAAATTCACTTCCTAAAAAAAAATTTCTTAATCTATTAGATAATAGGAAACAGAAAAAATAATAACTACTACTTACAGCATTGGTAATACTATCACCAGTTAAAACTGCTATGCATTTTACTTGATCATGTGGTGCAGCAAATACAAATCTATCTGTTTTATTATGTTGATCATTACCAAATAATGCTAATGGAAATCTTTGCGCACATTCCTGTAATATAATTTACAAAAAATTAATCCTGTTATTTAGTTTATTTATAACTTTTAAAAAAATATTAATTTTTACTGTACCATTAAAATATTTCTTAATTGTGATAATGAAGAATGAACTTCTTCATGAAGTACCCACTCAAACTCCATTTGCTAAAAATATTATGTTTCATTACTTCTTTATTTGATATAATATTGTAATTACATACTATGTCAAAGTTAAATTTTAAAATATGTACTATAAATAATAATTTATATAAGATATTAACCATAATTCAACAACATAAAATGTATTATATACACTATAATCTTATACTCTGATAAATATAGAATTATAATTCAAATTTTAAATATAAAAAGTACAATTATAAGTGTTCTAATTTGCCAATTTACATTTAAAAACACTGTGAAACTGTTTACAATAAAATTTGTTAATTATTAACAGTTATTTATGAGAAAATCTTATATATACTGAATAATAAACCTTGCTTTGAATGAGAACAATTAAATAATATAGTAATATAATCTAGGAGCAAACACCGTTGGTTGCATATGAGAATCATTTCTAAATTTTGAAAAATAAACTGTCAAATCATGCATTAATATATTTAAATAAGAAGTAAACATGACAGAAAAATGATTTACTAAAGACAACATAACCACAAAAATCTTATTTCAATGAGAACAGCGGGAGCAGGTTGATTAGTTCGATGATAGATAAGGTATACTATCATCGCGAACCGCGAGACGACGAAGTCGCCTAAGTGATTAGATAAACGGTAAGCAAAGGCAAATAGCTTACGAGATTGTGAGCCTCCTCTTTCTCGCAGTCAGCCATTTTTCTGTACCGGGTGGTGTCTCCACTTACTTCTTAGTCACAAGGCTCTATATGTCCGCCTTTACAGTTTTTGACTAATTTCTACTCTTTTCTTAAAAGTGTTTAATTTGTCACCAATTTCACAAATGGACGTGGTCGTTGTTTAAACGCGACAGATAAACTCTGTCATCTTTTCATACATGAAATTCTGAGATCTTGAACAGATAAATCGTTATCGTTGAATGATATTTTAATTGTAATCTAGGATCAGTGTGGATTAGTCCAGCAATTTGTACATTAATAATAACAAAAAACGGTAAAAAGTATGAGCACGGCAATCAGTATTAACTTTTCTTGTATTTTTTTATTTTAATATGGATTAAATCCGTAATCTATCACTTGTATGGATTAAATTTAACAGTTAAGTACTATTTTATTTAAATTAAATCATATTTTAATATTTAACATAGTATTTAATAAACTAATAATGTAAAAGATTGCATTATCAATTAATTAACAGTGTACCAATATGTTTAATGTATCTGAAGTGGATGTACTAAATTTCAAATCAATATTTTAATAGCTACCATATAATTATTTTTGGTTGTATCTTATATATAATAAATAGACATTAAATGTTTATGCAAATGCATATTTTCATTGGAAACATATTTTTATTAAATTAGAAGAATAAAGATTTTATTTTGCATTTTTTGTATAATTCATCTGTTTTACGTATTTATACTTAATCATGTATACAAGAACATACTAATAACTTATTGTTAATGCAAAAATATTATATGTCCAGTTTTAGTATTTTTGAAGAAATATGGTTTGAAATTCAATTATATTTTACATTATATTAAATAAATACTTGTTGCATTGTATTTATTATCTTGTATATATTATACACATAACTTAAAAATTAATAAAGCAACATAAATATAAATATAAGTTAGAATCTGTTAAATGATAAATATTGTAAAATTAAAATTAGAACAATAGATTCTGAGATTTGTAATAAACAACAGTATTATTTTTAACAAAATATGTGATTTTTACACAGTAGCAAATTCACAAGAAATGAATATACAATATTTGGGTATTAAGCTTTCCATATTGTATATATTTATAACATATTTATCATGCATATGTATCTGGAGTCTAATGAAAATTATTGGAAACTTTTGATTACATATCAGATAACTTATTTATTACATATCAGGTACACGTACAACGTTTTCTTCAATTATTTCTTGTTGTTACATATGTATTAAAAACTCTGTATATATTTATTACAATATATATGAAAATGTATACGACAGTATTGCATGAAAAAATGATTTTAAAAATTCTGATTATATAAATATTAATATACAGCTATTAATGTTATACATGTTTCATATTTTATATATTTTATAAATTGTATAAATACTATTAATAAATATTTAAGTTTCATTAATATATATATTTTTTTTTAGCAAAATTAAAAATTAAAACTATAATAAATTCTAGAAAATGAGGCACAGATTATCACATTATTCATTACAATAAAATTTAATACCCTTTCATCAAATGTTGATTTATTTAGGTGCATCTATATCGATGGAGATATGTTTTAATTGTGCTTGAAGGTACATTTAAAGCATTGATAAATACACATATACAGAAGTAAATATATGTATATTTATAGTTCAAAACTATTACTCGTTTCTTTAGAAGTCAATATTACTCTAGAAGTCCTAATTTGTGCAATATTAATATTTTTCTATAAAGCACATAGTTCAACAATTATTTCATGAATGAATCCTTTAGAAGAATTAAGTAAATCACCCTGTATGTGTGTCCCTATATTAATTGAAGTAATAACATGGATTTTAAGTGACCTTCTTTAATTTAGGCATTTTTTTCGGACACCTTTGTACGTGAACATACCAATGTTTCTCTTGACATCGTTCATCACAGTAAAAAGCCATCTCACATCCAAGACACTTGAATTTTGGCGCAATATTACTGCAGTTTGAGCATACAAGATTGTGCAAACTGTTTGGGCTACGACTTACTTTACCAAGATGTGGTGTATCACAATTCCTAAGTTCATTTCCTGGCAAGTTTTTTGATAACTGTGGATGTGTTGAAATTAAAGGCACCTGATATGGTGTTGTTGAAACAATGGTCGTCATTGCTGCTTGAGTATCATTAGCGATCAATGAATTCGTATGTGTAAAATTATCTGCAGTTTTAACAAGCGTTAATCTATCGAATAAAATATTTTGCATGTGTTGATACGTAGAGTTATTGTTACGAGTTTCCTCACCAAAATTGCTGTTTCGTGTTCGGTTAGTCATGTCTCGACCAGTTATTGTTTTATTAGGATGAGTTGTATCTCCATCAATAACATTTGTAATACCAGAAGACGTCAATGAATTGGGATCATTTCGGTTATATGTTAATGTGTCTCGCTGTCTATCAATGGAAGCAGCTGCCACAACGGCAGCAGCTGCTGCTGCAGCAACAACATCCGGAATCATTCTATTTTGAGTAAACTGACCATTTGTTGGATATCCAGTTAAAGGAGTGCGTGGTAGCATTTGATGTGAAGAAGACAAAGATGGTGGTGATATGAACAATGATGGTAAACAGGTTGCTGCAGCAACATTATTGCTAACATTGGTATTTCCTCGTATACGATCAAAATCTATATTAGTTGGATGATGCACGTTTGTTGATGGGGAAGGATATCTCACCATTGAGTCTTGTATTGAAGGAAATCGTTTATCTATGTGCTGCAATGGTCGCAATGATTCTTGCATAGGGAAATGATATCCTGGTAAAGTGCCTGAATGTAATCGAGAATGATATGGATAAGTACCATAAGGACAGATAGCTGAATGATAACTTAAACCAGCACTATTGTAGGGCTCAATCTGTAATTCAATAAGTATGTAATTATAACATTTGAATAAAGTATCTTCCATACATTGATTGCCACATTAATTATGCATAGATTATGCTTGAACTTCCATCACCCATGTTATTAGGAATTCTTTTATTTATTTACTTAAAAATATTCATATTAGGTACTTAAAATTAAATATTACAGAAATACTGGAATATTGTAAAAATATTGGATAAGATAAATTAAACATAAAAATATTAATGGAACCTTTATAAGTTTTGTGTCAGTCAATGTGTTAAATAGTACCTCAATTACAACATTCGATAAATAACTTAACTAAATAAAATGCAAGTAGAACAAGTATTTAACACTAAAGCAAATGTTATGTATTATTATTAAGACTTTCTTGAAAAAAGTATTTGATAATTTTGAAACAAATTGTTTTCAGATCAAGGAAGGTGTGTTATCAGATTAAGCTATATTCACAGTTTAAACATTTTAGGCTATCTTAAAATGAAAATAATAAATATTACTTACAGTATAATTGTTAGGATAAAACTGAGCCATAGGAATAGGTGGACAGAGAGCAGAACGTAGTGGTGGTATTGTTGGAGTTGATTGTGAAAGAGTTACGGATGCTGCAACATGTTGCAGTAATTGTTGCTGTCGTTGCTGTTGTTGATGGTATTGCCATCTTTCTGTATTGTATTGAGGTGTGGTGTTTATTTGATCATTAGCTGTATTTGAACCAACCATTTTTTGTATTTCAGCTTCTGAAATCTGTACAGTACATTGCAAATATAAATATAGTAGATAAAAAAGAAGAAAAGAGAAAAAATAAATTATATAACAATTAGTTCTATCAAAAAATCTTACACGAGTAAAATTATCTGTTGATGTGAATGGAATATTTGTAGTAGATTGTAATTTTGGTTTGCTTTTTGAAGTATGTTTCTTTGACATTCGAGTCAACCAATTACCAAGGCTTGGAAATTGTTCAGTCAATGTATGATCATCATTTCTTGATGTTTCTTCTCCTTTACAGTTTTGCTGTAATCTATTAGTCGTGTATGGATTAGACAAAAATTTTTAATATAATACATTTTTTATAATTATATAAAAAAATTATATAAAAAATTATAATTATACAAATTTTTTATAATTATAATATATTTTTTATAATAATACATTTTTTTAAATGTATTAATCTTTCTATATAACATACGTAAGATGTTCTTGATTCAATGTAGCTCTTGCTGTGTTAAGTTGATTCCACTGATTTAATTTCAACGGAACCTAGAATAAATTCAATAAAACATTTTAAAATAAGTTCTTCTGTTTGTATTAGATTTAAAATTAATAAATTACTGAAAAATCCATAAAAATTATCCTACTTTGAAGTATTTTACAACATAGCTAAGTCTTTAAATTTCATGTCTCAATCTTATATTTTTTTTGCAGTGATATAAACTTGTTTATGTCTGATTTTACAAACCTTTGGCACAGTTTGAATACTTTCACTGTTCTTTGGAACATTTTCTGAAATAGGTTCCAAGGTAGTAGGTTGTAAGACACGTTCTCCTGATAAAGAAATTTGTTTTTCAGATTTCAATTCAGGCAACTTGTTGTTTTGGGCACCCTTTGCTGTTTTCATATCACCGGGTATAATATTTATTATTGGTCTAGGTTCAGGAAATTCAAAACACTTGACTTTCTCTGATTCTTGAACTATAGAACTACTTTGTGGACACCCTTGCACCAATTTACTACTTTCATCTTTTTTATCACGACATGTACGACTGTTCTCAGGAAACTCAATAATCTTTTTAGAATGACTTGAAGATTGTTTTTTGACACTGAAAGTAAAATCCTCTATATCAATATTCATATTATTCAGCTGTTTTAGAGGACTCGTTCGCATGCACTCCTCAAAATCCGAAGAAGTTTTGTTTACATCCTGAAAAGAGTCCATAGGAACTGACTGTTTTACAGACTCTTCATTTGTTGACCATATTTTCCTGTCTGAGATTTGAACTTCTTCGTCAACCTGATGTTGACTCGATGAAATAGTCAAGCCTACTCTTGATAAAATCGGAGGGCTGTTTCTGATTTCTTCGGATGATATGTTTTCGTAACTGGTAGGCGATCGAGGTGACAACTGTGGTGGTTCTGGCGACAATGATGGAGAGTTATTCTTCACTAATATCTCATCAGTATCGGTGAAACTTATGACGAGATACTCCTCGTCGTCTTCGCCAGAAGAATTTACTGTGTGATCATGCACGTCGATTACTTCACTAGAAACTGGAAGGGCTGCGGACAACTTGCTATGCAACTTCGACAGATTTTCAATCTGCTTCTCATAGCGATTCATCACCTGCCTCAATGTGGTACTCTGCTGTGAATTGGAATCAGTTGCCATCTGTTTGGCCAACTCTAGAGCTTTCCCACGCAGTTCATTGAGCTTTTGTTTTAGCTTGTTTCGTCGATACTCTAATTTGTAGCTGTCGGTATTTAAGGGAGAAAAAGTGGTATCTTTTTCACAGATCATGTTATTCCAGTTGGAGGGAACTGGGCTCGACGAGGGCCTAGGCGTTGTTCCCGTAACAATTCTATAGTTTAATTCGTGCTCTGAGCCGGCATTAGTTCTAGATGTATATCCTTCCATTTCTACAAATAAGAATTTGTTTAATTATTCAAACACCTTACAATAAATACCTTACAATATCAGCGCTATATTATGTCACTTTTATTTTATTGCCTAGTCTTGTAATATTTTTCAATTTTAGACAACGACCATTATAATCAGCTATTTTGCATTAAACAGATTCATGAAATTCTTATGCAGAACTTATCATTAAACTCTAAGTTTCGTATTAATGTAGCACAAACACTATTTTGAGTTTTTATGTCATACAATTATATATAAACTAATATTATTACATTTCTCTTAGATATATACACCTGAATCATTAAGTCCATTGATACCTGTACGAACCACCTTCTTCAACCTTAACGGGGGCACCTTATTCCCCTCTTCTTTCGAAGAAGACACAATTCGAGAGCATCTGTCGGTACACGAATTCTGCGATCCTTCGTTTGTGTTCGAACCACAAAAGTTTTTTAAAAATTCTTTGATCGAACTTTCCACGCGTTCCTCCCTTTGAGTGGAATCTGCTTCCTGCGATCTCTTTCTTCTTCTGTTCTCTTTCGAATTATCCTCGCCAGTTTTTCTTTTCATTGTACTCAAACTTTCTACGCTTGATATCTGAGGAACAACATAATCCACGGAGTTAGCTAATTCTGTAGAGGTCGAGTGTTCCTCTTTAGCATTGAAATCTTCTTTGTTAGCTTCTTCGTTCGGTACATCAATCGATTTCATTGGTTCCACTTCGACCACATCCATAGTCGAAGACTTGGACAGGACGAGCAATGGTGAACAATCCTTTCGTAAAGATCTTGCGGGTACGCAAGGTGCTGGACGAATCGGTAAGGAACGATTAGGTTGAACAGGTATCAAACACGAACTACGATCTCGCAAAGCTGTTGCTAAACTTCCACCTCCGTTAGAGTTTGATTTACTCGAACTGTCTGCTAACATGATTCGAGGCTCTAAAATGAAACGATCCATAATTAATAACTGTGTAACAAAGCTCTTATTACGTTTTGTGATAAGTGGTTCATGCACTTATTACGAATATGAAAACCGTTTTCCTTCATCGTCCTCACTTTCTGAGAAATTGAATTTTGGGACAAAAATAAAATTCTCAGCTTTAAAAATTATTCTATAAATTTTATCAAATAAAATGGTATAATTAGTTGTTATAAAATGAATGATGTATGATTGTATCAAGGAATAATATATTTTAGAAGTTAAAATGGATTACAACAGTTCAATATCATACCTAACAGAACATTCATAGAGAAATTTTGATTTTTATTATTCCCCTCATTTTCCGTTGTCTTCAGGTCGTCAAATCGTTTGAAAATCGTATGTTTCCACGTGCTTCTCTCATCGGCTGTTAAATCAACGAAGATGGGTCTTTCTAGACAACCAGATGTCTCCGAGGTCACACCTTCCTCTGTCACACTAACAAATCCACTTTCCTGGTTTGATTCATTCAGTTTCTGTAAACTTTCGCAGGGAATCTCACTAGAGCTGCTGATCAAACAAACACCTTGCTCTTCTTCGAAGTTTTCACCATTTACTTCACAGCACAAATCTTCTTCTTTGGTCAGCAGCTTGTTGGAGGATTCCTCGAGATACGGTAAGGATGTGGTGGTTGGTAGATCCTTTGACTTCTTGCAAATAAAATTATTTCGGGAGATCATCACCTTTGGCCAACAGGTTTTCGCGAACAACTTCAGTGATGGTTTATGTTTCTTTGTTCTTCCTTTTTGTTTTTTTGACGGATCGACGAATTCACAGCCATTGAGTTCTTCCATGATTTAAACCTTGTATAATATTCAAATTTTAATTATATCATTCGGTTTATATTGTTATATGTTGATTACAAAATAGAATAAAGCGAAGTTCAAAAGGGAGAGCTTATTTGAGCTAGAATAAGTACTTGTTAAAATTTATTAAAAGAAATTTAGCAATTTGAAAATTTAATAAAATTTGTAACTGCAGAAATTTAGTTTCAGTTACGTTAATAGTAACGTCAGTTTCCTTTCCAAAAAAATTGCAATTCTTTATATTAGCGAAAAAATGTTCAATTCAGAATGATATGGTTTTTGACGTCCTTTAATATAATGATAAAAAATGTTGAAAAAATTTTTGTGACAGGTATTATTTTGAGCTACGTATTTCTTTAATTATATATTTCTGCAGAATAATTTTTTCCATTTTTAAATTACCAAATTTTCTTTACAAGATATATTACAATTTTGTAAAAATCAATGCACTTCATGAAAACTACGATTGCTTTTTGAAGAAAATGGTTGTCAAAGAAGATTATGTAAATCTAATATCTAGTCATTGTAGTCAAGAATGAAAAAACAAGTTGCATAATTTATGAAAATCTTAAACTTTCAAAAATTTGTAATTGTATGTTTAAAACAATACTCGTAAATAAAATAGCAGTTTCATCTATGTTTATATTTTTTTTCTCTCTTTATGAAACAATTTTTATTTTTTCCAAAATGCAAAAGATTATAAAAACTGTACTTGTATACTCACAATGCCCATCAATAAAACTGTATCATAAAGCTCTTTTCTTCATTTCACTAACTAAAAACCTCATCAACTGTCCACAAAATAGTAGAACGTTCACACTATTTGCTCACATCAGCTGTATTTAATTAACAAGAAAATTTATATAAGTAAATTTAAACTGTAGGAAATAATGCAAACAAATTTTTACAATTTTATAAATTAACAATTTGTTTTAATTGTCTGCTTTAGTTTTAAAATCAAAAATAAAAATTTGAATTGCAAAAATGAGTTCCCTCCACGAAATTCATAGTATTATAATATTAATTGAAAATAAAATATAAACGTTATAATACTAATTGAAAATAAAATATAAAATAACACGTTAAATGTTTTGGGGATGACAAAGAATTTAATATAAAAATTGACAAAAACAAATTATTTAAATTTCTAATCACATTAATGTTACATATATTATACAGACAACATATCAAGTATTCAATTCAAGTTACAAAATAAATCAAATCTGGAGAATTGTAATTCCAGTATACTGTTTTCATCGTGACATCTAACGTGTTTTATTAATTACTTTTAATTGTTATCAAACCATCAAGTTTCGACCGGGTACATGCCGCAAAGCAGATCAAGACGCTGTTGCGCGAAAAATGAAGCTCGAAAGCAAAGAATCTTGCACGTATACCGATGTTTCCCACTTCTAGAAAAGTTCTTATTAGGGAAACCCTTCGCAATTGGCCGACTAGAACGCAGTCGTTTGGCGCAGCTCTGGAATACAATGTTTATCGGCAAGACAGCCAAGGAAAAAGGACAATAAATTCGTTTCCTTCGACGTTACATACTAAGTTCTTTTTCATTCTTTGAATCGCCTGTCTGCTATCCTTTTTCATCGTGGATTGGCCAGACACGATGACTTGATGGACATGGGAAATATGGATTATTTCCCATCTTCTTCTCTATTTTGCTCATTTTTCTTCTATAAAGAATACGTGGTATTATTGGTATAACTTGAAACAATCTGGTTCTCTGAAAAAATATTTTTTACGTATAATATTTTCATAGCATTTCTAATTAAATGTCTCGTATCAATATTGTAGTATAATATGTTCATATGAAATAATAATTTTTTAAATAGAATGTTGTTTCAATATCTTAAGAAATAATTGTATTATTTACACAATATTTATAGAGAAATGTTTTGTTACTATAGTATTATAGTTCTATATAATTTATTTTTTAAAAGCATCTGTGATTGACATGCAGTATCTAAAAGATTTGCAGTATTAATTAATAATAATTTGCATTATTAACTGTATTTTTAATACTGTTCTTTTATAATATGTAAGAAGTATTCAAATAAAATAATGTACTTATTATTTAAAAATTAAAACTTGTATTGCTTGCACAGTATTTATAATGACATGTTTTCTATAAACATTATAGTATAATATTACATTATTATATTTCATAGTTTTCGAAACTTTCACTAGAATTTGCTATTGCAATTACTCTCCCCGTTGTACCTATTATAGTTGCTTCTGTACTAATCACATAGTTACTATATATAGTCTGGCTGCTATTATTCTGCCTGTATGTACCGTATTTAACCCAGTAACAGAATGTAATAAAAATTTATAATTCATTTAATTAAAACCCTACATGTAATCTCATATCTTTTATTTGTCGAACAATAGTTCAATACGCAATTCAAATTAAATCAAACTCGTGAGAGTAAAATGTTTCTTTTACGTGGAAGATATCGATCGCTTTTTTATTATTCCGAGTGCTGTTTAATGGTTAAATGCAAAAGTTCCCCTTGCAAAATCGATTCGTCAAATAATCGGTGTCCCGTATATTTCCCTCGGGATTTCGTTGATAGTGTCTCCTAAAAATTTCGCTATACCGAACGCATAATTCTCTATGCACCTCTTTACATTCTTTTCTATTAAGTGTCTTGCATAAATTCTTCATAAATATTAAAAAGTTTATAAATCTTAATTTATATGAAATTTAAATTCTTGATATGTTACATAAATAACGTTAATAAATGATAATATTATTTCTGGGATATATTTTATTATTACAGATTAATTTTATTTCAGGATTAAAGAAACTATCAAGAATCTCTCCAGCCAATTTTTTAAGAATATTCTGCAATGTATGAACTGTATAGTTTGTTCGTAACATGAACACTTAGCAGACGGGCGATGGGTAGCACATGTGCATTTTCCCACCTGAGGAAAGTTGACGGCAAAGAGAAACTCGACGACGATACGCATGCACCAGCAAAAGGGGTGAATCACCCTACGTTCCTCCTGCCTGGTTCTTTTTCACCCGTGGAATAAAATAAAATATCTTCAATATGTTCGAAAATTCTTTTGAAAAACTTAACAGAATAAACAGAAATATAATCAACTGTTAACGTGCTATACAATATTATTTAATATCATTTAAATAATATTCGATAGTTGAAATTTGACTAGTAAAAATATGTTTGAGAAGGATTTAGATTTGAAATTTCGTTTTTAAAGTTGACGCCACATAAAATATATTTCTTATTATTGACTACTTTTTTGCATATTTCTGATAATGTTGATAAAGTTTGCAGGTTCTTTAAAAAGAATAAAATATCGTTAGTTGACTTGAATATAAATTCGACCTCAATAATCCTGAATTAAAAAATTTAGGTTTATAAGTTGCAATAAAAATAAGAGTAAGAAAAAGGTGTAATCATGAATAATAAAACTGATACCACTTATGTATATTATGCAAAATATTCTTTTGAATATTTATTGAACAATATATTTTCTTGAATATGAAAGTATTTAAAACATGTAAAATTAAATATTTAAAGTATGTAAAACATTCTTTGAATTTGTTCAATAATTTCATTCGTGCAATAAATCTATCAGTCTGACAGTCTTAATCTTATTTTAAATATATGCAAATATTAACATTTCTGTTTATGAATTCCAACTTTTTAATTCAAAGTCATCTGAAGGTCATAGTACATTTAAGAATTTGTTTTAATATTAACCGTAATGATATGAAGTAAAAAATATATGACACCACTTTAAACAATCAAGTTAACCATATTTTATTGAAAAAAATTTATTTCGAAATTTTTAATATTTAAATATGTAGCGAATCAAAAACTGAGTTTCTTCACAACATTTTTTAACTGATTGTCAGAAATATCTAAAACATGGTGAATAATATTAAAGAATACACCCCGTATATCAATCCGAAACATTGACGTGAATCGGATCAATTGTATAGCTAACTATTTTTGGATGACCTTAGTTCTGTAGACTTTGAACTTTCTATTGACCTTGTATATCAAAAACAGATGAAAATGTGATACAAGTAAGAATATAAAAAGTTAAAATGATTAGTAATAAATTGAATTTCAATTAGCAATTTAATATTAAATGTGTGACTACTTATTGTATCCTAGTTTCATGTGTTCGATGACACTGTCATTTTTTAACCAACTTCGAAAAAGGAGAAGGTTATTCAATTCGATCAGTATATATTTTTTTTTTTTTTATATATGTATACCCGCCGATTACGTCTAGCTGGATGGACCGATCGGAACGAAACCTTTTGCATCTGGTAGGTTCTGATTCCCCATTGGTACCATTATCAAAAAATTTTTCATTTTTTAATTGCAAAGTATTGTTATTGCAAAAAAACCGGCAACTTTTGAAATAAACTTTTCTCAATTTTAGTGCGCTTTTAATATCTTATCACGGACATAATTCTGAACAATTTTGTTCATATACAAATTTCGCAGAAAGCTTCAGTTTTCGAGATATTAGTGAAAAATTGTTACTTCGGACGATTTTAATGTCCTTTTAATATGTTGTCAGGGGCATGTCTTTTACTTAATTATGTTCATGGCATTTCCGCAGACAAAAAAAAACCGGAAGAACTGCCTCACAGTATCCTATACAATTCTCTCCATTCCACTAAAAAGCGTGAA